CTCTCCGGCCCGGGTTACCCACACCCACTCGCCCTGGAAGAGGCTGAGACCACGGAGACAGCTCCGGCTCACCCCCAGTGCATCTCCAGTCCCTCCCAGAACTCCTCGGAGTTGCCGGACTGTGCCGGAAACAGCGAAGGAGGACACCACCGGCGGCGGCGGGGGCGGGGGCCGGCTATTATCCCCAGTCCCTGGGCACAGTCTGTTCCGCCCGCGGAGCTCAGTTACAGCCAGCCGCGTCCCCGGGCCCAGCAGCCCTTGCAACACCGGCCGCGTCTCCAACACCCGGGGCCCCGGCACCGGCAGGGTCTCTCCACGCCTCACTAGCAGAGGACCGACTCGTGGTCCGAGCCCAGGCCCCGGTGAGGTGCCAAGCAGCGCCCAGCCCAGGGCCGGGGGCCGTCGCACGGGCCGCGCCCGCACCTGAGCCCCGGGTCCCAGTGCTAGGAGCCGCAACAGTGCGCGGCTAACCAGCAGCTGCGGGGGCCCAGGACCTTGCTCCTCAGTCTCAGCACCTGGCCGTTCCAGGGCAGCCACTAACAGAGCCGGCCCTGCTGGACTCTCTCCTGCAGGCCGAAGGGCCAGAACCAGGCCCAGCCCCGCCGCAGGCCATGGGTCCCCGGGCGGCAGCAGTACTACCAAAGGGGACGTCTCGGTCGGGAAGGGTTCCAGGACGCGCAAGACAGCCAGCACCATGGTGATTAGAGATCGACCAGGAGAGCCAACTAGTACGGCTTCCGGAGCTTGCGAACCGGAAGATTAGGCGACGTAAGTGCTGCTTCCGCTTCGGTTAAAGGCGGTGTGAGGAAAATGGGAGGGGCGTCAGGTGCCCGGAGCAAGCTCTGAGAGGTTGCTCTGCTCCTCGGGAAGATCCCGACCATCCCTCGATGGCAGTAACCATAATCACCCTGTGCGCATGCGCCCTGTGAACCGGTGTTTACCAGGATTTGCCTTTGCCTTGGAGGGGAGTAACCTCCTCTCAACTGCTATGCCCGTTAGCATATTCTAAATAGTTTACTGACTGATCAGCGAGCGGCCTGGGACTGACTAGTGCTGGGAGTTGTAGATGGAATGTTTCAAAAGAGTTCACTCCTCTGTAGGAATTCTTACACTTTGCTCTATGCAGCTGTAGGCATTGAAGTTTGAGGGTTGTAGAGAATATTGTTGGAGGGAGTGGTAGGATTATAAAACTGTCTCAGACATGCTTATAGGTACGCAGTGACTGCTGGCTGAATTACTATATGTGATTCATGTAGCCCTGGAGTGCTTGGTGCCGCCACACCTGTTCCAACACATCCTACACAAAACCCACATTCCAGCACTTCTTGTCCTGTTCTTTGTCCTGTCTTTCTATTCCCACCAAACTTGAAGACAAAACAGCTTCCCTTCCCCCCCCCCCCCCCCCCCCCCCCCCCCGCACCAATTCTTGGAGACCCTTTGCTATTTCTATCCTGGAGGAGGGCAGGCAGCAGAACTGGGGGAAGGGAGGGGTTTGAGACTTCTGTCACGACTACTGAGTCAATAGCCTGCTTTCTACTTGTGCTGTTAGAGTCCATCCTTATCTTTATTCGTACAGTGGTAGGCCACATTTCCAATATATTATCATTTATAATCAATGGATTAGATGGTGGCGGTCTCTTCTCTCTGAACGTTGTGTTCTCTTTCAGCTAGTGCCCAGCTTTCTCCTTGAGACTACATCTTGAGGTAGTCTATTTTGAGTAGCATATATTTCTGAAAACCTAAAAGTCAAATACTTGAAATTGCCCATTCCTACTTTTTTGTTGTTGTTTTTCAGGATTGAACTAGGGCACTCTGCCACTGAGCTACATCCCCAGCCCTTTTTATTTTATTTTTTTTTATTTTGAGACAGGGTCCTGCTAAGTTACCCAATCTGGCCTTGAACTTGTGATCCTCCTGCTTCAGCCCCAGAGTCACTGGGATTACAGGCATGTGCCACCATGCTCCACAATTCCTACATTTCTTTTAAATATTTATTTTTTAGTTGTAGTTGGACACAGTATCTTTATTTTATTTTTATGTGGTGCTGAGGATCGAACCCAGGGCCTCCCACGTGCTAGGTGAGCGTTGTACCACTGAGCCAAAATCCCAGCCCCCACAATTCCTACATTTTATTTATTTATTAATATTTATTTTTTAGTTTTTTAGGTGGACACAATATCTTTATTTTATTTTTATGTGGTGTTGAGAATTGAACTCAGGGCCTCACGCATGCTAGGCAAGCGTGCTACCACTTGAGCCATATCCCCAGCCCCAATTCCTACATTTTAAAAACAGCATACAAGAAGGTGCTAGGAATCTGGATTCACATAGTTAAAAGTTCCCATTTGGTAGTCCTAGTCCTACTATCTGTGGCTCTGTCCCCTGCCTCCCAGAGGGATCAAAGACTGGGTAATGGATTGCGCCTGTATAAGACATGTCTGTTTTGTACAGTAGAACGTAAGCTCTAGGCCTCAGGACTATGGTGTTCCTTGAGGCCTTGGGCATAGACAAATACATCTGGTATCTTGTCTATATCAGCCCTCATGCAGACACAAATGCCCATCCATTAATAAACATCTTCTCACCCAGGCTTTTCCCCAACAAATAATTGACATGCAATGGAAACTTTGTGTTGCCTTGAGATCATTACTTATTAAAGTCAAATACTATTTCTGTAAGCTAGCTAGGATCCTACATTTGTTGTCTTCATTTCTTTAGCTTTTGTTCACACTTCAACCTATTATAAACTTCTTTCTATGCCTCTAAAACTTCCATGGCAAAAATCACCAGTAACCTCCTAACTGCAGGATCAAGTTGTTGCTGTTCAATTTTTATCTTACTCAGTCTTCCTGTGACCAATCCTCTTTTACTTCCCTTGCCATTATGACACCAGTTTTCTTCTTATGTCTTTGACCACTTCTGGAAGCCATCCTTAGCTCCTCCCTTTCTGATACTGTCTCCCCACAATCCAATGAATCACCAAATCCTGTTGAATCTACACATTTTCCAATCCCAACTTCTCTTCTCCATCCCTATGATCACTGCCTTTAAATGTTACTATCCCTGGGCAAGTTTTATTTATTTATTTTGCAGTGCTGGGGGAAAGTAGCACCTCCTTCATGCTGGGCAAGCATCTATGACTGAACCTCTAGGCCCAGAGATTTACTCTCCATAGGTTATTCTTCTTGGGTCTTCTCCAGGGTGATTCATTCTTTCGTTCTTTCTTTCTTTTATGGGGTATGTGTGTGGTACTGGGGTTCAAACCAAGGGCCTTACTCTATCATGGAACTATATCCCAGCCCTCCCAACCCTTTATAGTTTTTTTTTTTTTGGTACCAGGGATTGAATCCAAGAGCAATTAACCCACTGAGTCACATCCCCAGGATCTTGCTAAATTGCTTAGGGCCTTGCTAAGTTGCTGAAACTGGTTTTGAACTTGTGATCCTCCTGCCTCAGCCTTCTCAGCAGCTTCAATTCCAGACATGCACCAACATGCCAGTTTTTAGTTTTATCTTGGGGTAGAGTCTCGATATATTGCTCAGGCTGGCCTCAAATTTGCCATCCCTCTGCCTAAAGATCCCTAGTAGCTGGGATTACAAGCCCCGTTTCTTTTTCTTTTTTTTTTAATATTTATTTTTTTAGTTTTATATGGACACAATATCTTTATTTTATTTTTATGTGGTGCTGAGAATCGAACCCAGTGCCTCACGCATGCTAGGCAAGCACGCTACCACTTGAGCCACATCCCCAGTCCTATTTTATTTATTTATTTATTTTATTTATTTTTTCCTTTTGCAGTGCTGGGGATTGAAACCATGGCCTAACACATGCCAGACAAGTGCTGTAACAATGAGCCACATCCCCAGCCTAGGACTAGTTTCTTAATATAGTCAGTCAGTTACCAGAGTAGCCTCTCTGAACTATTCCTCCTTGCCACTTCAAGGTTCGTGCACTCTATTATTATTATCATTGGTACTGGGGATTGAACCCAGGGGGTGCTTTACCACTGAGTTACATTTCTAGCTCTTTTTATTTCTTTAAGATTGGATCTTCCTAAACTGCTAGGTACTGGCCTCCAGATTGGGATCCTTCTGCCTCAGCAGGATCCCGAATCACTGGGATTACAGACTTGTGCCTCATTGCCCGAATTTATTACATTGTATCTTAACCATTGGTTTACACAAGTTTGAATTTCACCAGACTATGAACTTCCTGAGGGCAGGAACTGAGTCTCACCCATTAGAGCCCTGGTTTGGGTGGGGTGGTGCGTAAGGGATGTATTTCCAGAGACATTAACAATGAGATTGCTTTTCCACTTTGTTTTTAGCTACTCAAATCTAACTAGTTCTCCAATCCCAGGATACTTGCAGTAGGTATAGGGGCCCATTTCATAAGGTTACAACAAACCAAGAATCCTCATTCCTTTCACCCAGGTCCCACCCCTGGCAGGCGTCCCCTTTACTCCCCTCTAACTCAGGTCTAGGGGGGGTGAATGCCCTGGAGGACCCTTAGGAGACTTCGGCAATTGGCACCTGCACTCAGTTTTACTTTACCCCAATGAAGAAAGGTGCCCTTCGTTTTAGGGCTTCTTTTCTTCATTTCATACTGGGCGAGCTTGCAGAGTGGGGAAAGTGGGAGAGTCACTTCAAAAAGAAAGAGCACAGCTCCAAGGGCTACGAAGAATGGCCGAGGACGACGCACACCCGACGCTGGAGTGCAGCTCTCCTGGCCAAGCTGGGGCTTCCCCCTTACCCCCGCCTCCTTCATTAAGCCCGACCCATTTTGGGGCGGGATTTCCCACCTCAGCCAATTCTGGGAGCCGAACCCTGGCGGTTTGTACTCTTTCTTTCCAATGAGAAAAAAAGGAAGCAGCTTGGCTCCAATGACCAATCCGAGGAGGCGGCGCCTGGTTGTCAGGCAGGTTTGTAAGAGTTCGGGCCAATTAGAGGCGCAGGCACCGCTCGACCCGGGCGCAGCGCGCAGGCGGTGGCGGAGAGACGCCGAGCGGGCCGAGTGCGGCCGAGCAAAGCCGGAGCCGGAGCGGGGCCGCAGGAGCCGGGCCGGGTCCGGACGGGCCGAGATGCCCTATAAACTGAAGAAGGAGAAGGTGAGCGTGGCCCTTTCCCTCGCGCCTCCGCCTTAGGGCCTGCGCGGAGCTCTGGGAGGGGCCCGAACCAGGCCCGGGACAGCCCTAGACTGACCCTCCCGTCCGGCCCCCCGCAGTACTCCCCGGAGCAGCCCTTAGCCCCCGCGGCTGGCAGCACCTCCAGCCCCTGCCGCATCTAGGATAGCTCCCCACCTTGCCCTGGATGTATTTCCCCCATATACACCTCCCTTTTTTTCCTCCCTCCTCCTACCCGCGGCTCCAGTAACCTCCTCCCTCCGGATCTGCCCCACTCCTAGGTCACTCCCCTGCTTTTTTCCCTCTGTGTCCCACCGTCCCCGATTCCCCAACGGTTTCTGTGTCTCCCTCCAGAACTGCCCTTTTCCCCCGCCCTGCGCAGCCCCCTTCCCTCTTCTTCTCACCGGCCTAGGATTGCCTCTCCACAGTTCCCTACGCCCCTTCTTTCTGAACGCCAAGCCCCCTGACCTAGAACAGCGCTGCTTTCTTTCTCCTTCACCCAAATCTGGCTAGGCCCTTTCTTTAGTTCTTCCTTCACACACAAACTTGTAAGCCAGAACTGAGCTCTTCCTTCTGTTGATGGAACCTCAGAACGTCAGTGCTGGAAGGAAGCTCTGAGCACATGTAGTGCAATCCCTACTGGTACAGATGAGGAGACTGAGGCCCCTGTAAGGGAAGGGACTTGTCCAAGGTCACACAGTCTGCTGGAGGCCCAACTGCAATATCAGATACCCTGACTTAAAGGGCTTTTCTGTACCAAAGCCCTCCTAACCTACATCACTTGGCTCCTGTGTTCATCCTAGACCAGACACTTTCCTAATCTGATCAAGCTCCTCCCTTTATTCCTAATCCTAAAATAACCTTTGCATTTTCCCCTTTGTAGGCTGCACGCTCCTCAAATTAGGAATCTACCCCTTCAGATTAGTTTTTCTTCTTAGCATGAAGGCCATCCCTGGACATCCATGCTTTTGCGATGATGTCCTGACACAAGCCATTTCTTGATTATCATTGTGAGTGGTGCTGGGGATCCAACTCAGGACCTTGCACATACTAAGCATACGCTCTACCACTGAGCTATATTCCCATCCCCACATGCCATTTCTTCTTTTCTTTTTTGCCATTTCTTGATGTTGCCTTCTTTCAACTTTCTATGCTACCTCCATACTGCCTTCCCTATTCTTCATCCCTGTCTGTTTCTACCCTCTGTTTCCTGCTGTTGCTGAGGTCTGACTCAGAGGTATGGCTCCTTTAAGGTACAGATTCACACAGAGGATGCTAGGATACCAGTTCCAGCTCCCCCCAGCTTCTCTTGGGGCTGGCCCCTCATGTTGGGGGATGTTTCTGGTCTGATGTGGCTACCCTTCTGATGACTCTAGAGGTGTATTGGCAGCATTCATTTTCCATCTGATTGACTGAGTTGTTGGACTGCCATCTTTGACCTTATCAATCAAAGTCTTTATCCTGGAGCTTTTAGGTATTTGCCAGGCAGCTTTGATTCTAGGTTGTCTCCATAACCTTTCAGGGCCTGAGATTCAGGGTTGGTAATTACATACTATGTGTTGAATCTCCTGAGGTAGAGAGCAAGATCGGGCTGTATGCCTCACCCAGGTCCTGTCCTTGGGAAATGGGCATGCCAGTGTGGTTTGGGCTGTTCAGCTACAGACAGTGTATGTATACATAAGTCAGCCATACCAGGAGTTAAGAGATATAGAATTTAGGGGATGTGGTGAGGTCCGCATCCATCTGTAGCTTTTGGCTTGATGGACCAGATACTGTCCCATTGCAGAACATCTTTACTTACTAGATGATTGAGAAGACAAGATATTCATGGATTTGCAAGGACCACAAGTTTATTAAGTTGAGAAAGGGTGTTAGAAGAATCAGGATGCATGGAGCCAGGCCTATCTCTGATCCCCTGTGTGATTTAACTCCCTGCATTTGATTTTTGGCTGAATTTGTTCTCATTCAATGGTTGTCAAGTTCTGAGGGGGAGAGAGGTGACAGTGTGACTGAAGTTTGCCTGGATGGGCACAGAGCATGTGGGTGGGTGGAGACTCTTTATTGCTCATCCATCACCTGTCCCCTTTCTCATTCATCTCTGCTGGTCCCAATCCTATCCTTCACTGCCTCCTCCCTGAAGCTTTTCCTGAGCCAGTGATCTCTACCTACCCCCCTGTATTTGCAGAATATTCAGTAGGCCACTCGTGGCCCTTTTGTGTTCAGCTTTGGATTGGAATTAATTAGAGACAAGTCTTGTCTTCTCCCTTGAGATCACAAATAAGCTGCATTTTGGTTTCACATCTTACCTACACACAGTAGGTGCTTAGTGAACAGGTGCTGAGACAATCTTTTGGGAGAATATGCAGTCTCCCCTTCTCCCTTGTTCTGATCTGAGATTTACGTCTTACGTTCTTGGGTGAGGTGTCTCTGCTCCCTCCCACTTTCTTCTTGTTCATAATAATAATAATTACAACAACATTGATCAATATTAGGATTTTCATGTGCAGGCCACTATGCTAAGGAAGTGGGTACTATGATTGTCATTTAATAGGAGAACAAGGCTTAGAGAGGCCAGATAACTTGTATCCGATTATATAGCTAGTGAGAGTTGAGCCCCCAAACACAGGGCTAGCTCCAAACCATTCTTTTAACCTCAGTGTCATGCAGCACTCAATAGCTGGGCTGGCCTTCAGTGTGTGCACTTCACCTGTTCTGCAGGAGCTGGGGAACAAGGCTGGTGGGCGCTGTTCCCCATTCACCCACTCACACCCACACACCAAAGCAGCTGGATTTCTCTTAACTACATTCCGTGAGAGATGTGTCTCAGGCATCATGCTGAGTGTCATTGGGTGGGTGGAGGGGTACAAAAAAGAATAATCAGCTTATGATCAAATAGAGAGATCAGGACTGGGGATATGGCTTAGTGGTAAGGTGCTTGCCTGGTATGAGTGAGGCCCTAGGTTCGATCCCCAGCACTGCAAAATTAAAAGTAGATAAAGTAGATGAGACTTATATGAAGATGGGTTTCGATTGTCTGAAGGATCCACATCTGAGGGTAAAGACAGTTACCTCAGTTTTGTGTCCTGCCTGCCTCCCTCCCATCTTCTCTCTCTCCACCCTATACACTGAACCACTGACAGAAGTCAGTATGGCCAACCTGGACAGTAGGCATCAGGAATGCTCAGCCTAAAAAGGAATACTTTCCCCCTTGTGCTACTGCATCCAGCTGCTCCACACCCAAGAATGGTTTCTTTCCTCCCCTCCCCCAAGAAGCCTTTCCCCTACTCCAGCCCACACAGAGCTCTCTTCTCCCTGAAATCCTTTTGCCCCCATAGTCACAATCATTTGATTTAACACTTCTTGCTGAAGGGGTTTGGCTGCTATTGAATTGCAGACTTTCAGAGCTGGAAGTGATTTCCAAGATCCTCCAATCCAGTTCTCATTGAAGACTTGAATCCCTTTTTCAACATGCCTTAGAAGAGGTCACCCAGCCTCTGCTTGAATGCTCTCAGGGCTGGGGAGCTTTCAGCTTCACTAGGCAGCCAGTTTCCATGCAACTGCTCCGTGAGAAAATTCATCCTTCTTGCAAGCCCCACCTATCCTCTTGCAACTTCATCCCATTGCTCTTCTGCCCCTGGGTCCACATGGACAAGTTGCATCTTTAGTCCACATGGCAGCTCCTCATTTGCTGGTTGAGATCCATCTTGCTTCCCCACCCCCCCAGGACTCCTCCCTTCCATTGTTAACTATCCTAGTTCCTGCAGCTGTTGCTCTTGGGCCATGCTTTTGAATACACTCCCAGTATGGGTCACATTTCCCCTAAGAAAAATTCAGATTTCTCATTGCCCTTCCTAAAGTGTGATGCTCATGACTGAACCAGAGGCTCTAGGTGGACCCTGTCAGTGCCAAGCACTCTGCATAGGTCTGTTAACTGAGTGGAAGGTCATGTAAGCTATGGAGGTAGCCACGGCACATGGATGGGCAGCCACGGCACATGGTTGATCTGTGTTGAGCTTGCAGTCAGACCTAAATCCCCAAGTCTTTTTCACATTCTCCCCATCCTGTTCCTGTGTGGTTGCTTTTTTTTTTTTTTGGCCCAAAGCATAGGAAGAGATGCTGGGCAGGCCAGGGCTCTGAGCCAGCTGCCAGGTTCCCAAGGGAAACTTTAGTCTAGTGCTCACTCTTGGTAACAATTCAGGGTTTTACCCTCATCCCTGTCCCAGTGTTTACTAGCCCAGGCTCTCTTGGTCTTTTGAGTAAGACACTTCCTATACCAGTTAGCATCCCTGGGCCCTACTGATTAAATGACAGTAGCACCTTCTTGTCTTGGTGATATTTGTGACATCTAAAAAATGCCTCCTGGTCTCTCTGGATAGCCCTGAGGGGAGAGGGTGACTCCTACCCTTCTAGCAAGGAAGCCTCTGGTATCCCTTTGACCCCTTCAGCCAGAAGCCAGTCTGAGCATCTTGTTCTCTAGTGCTTTTCCTTAAAGCCTCCTTACTCTCATTCTTAACCTGAGGGCCCTCCTAGGCCTAACCCATGCATCAGCTTGGTGAGGTCCCAGATGAAAGAGCATTGATTATTGTGTGTTAAGGATAACTTCTTAACTAGATTCTAAACTTCTTGGAGGGACTGAATCTCCTTTTATGTGTATCCCCCACCTAGAACTAGGTACAAGGTAGGTTCTGATTGATTGATTCAGTCAGACAGAATATAGTTGCAACAAGGATAAAGGATCCAGACAGGCCTCTCCCTTCCCTTGGTTTCTGCTAACCCAAACTCCTCCATCTTCTCCCAGCAGGAGCCCCCCAAGCTTGCCAAAGGCACAGCCAAGCCCAGCAGCTCAGGCAAGGATGGTGGAGGTGACAACGCTGAGGAGGTAATGAATATAGGCACAGCCCTAGTTGTGGTGCAGGTGCCAGCTCTAGTTCCATGATGGCTGGGGGATGAGGGCTCCTGGGGGTCAGCGTTACCCAGGAGGGAAGCTAACATAGGAAAGGAGAAGGAAGGAGGCTAACACAGCCCTGAACAGCTCATCTGGATTATCCTCAGAGGTCCCTTTGGCTGGTTTTCTCTATTCTTTTAGACTTCTCAGATTGCTATGAAAGTCATTTTTTCTTTGTGTTGATTTTTGAATGTTGAAAATTCCTTTTTCATGGGCTGGGGGTATAGCTCAGTGCTAAGCATGCACAAGGCCCTGGTTTGATCCCCAGTCCCCCAAAACAAAGAAGTCTCTTTTTCTTAAAGCAAAAAGCTGGGAGGTCCAGGGTCCTGGGGGGAAGAGGAAAAGACCACGAGTGCTTATGGGGTGATAGGTGACTTTGACATGGCTCTGGGTGGGGCAAGGGGTTGGGAGTGTCTGGTGTCCCTTCAGGGTTGGGCCCACTGCCCTTGGTCTCATTCTAATGAGAGGACCATGGGACAGTCATGAACAGAGGTCAGTGCAGCTCAGCAATCTAGGGCTGTAAAGCAATAAACAGAAAGAGAAAGATCAGCAGAGAATGGAGGGACTTGAGGAAGTACAGGGTATGTCCATGAACATATGGGGGTGTGCTCAGTGGGATGCTTTGGATGGTGTGAACATGTGGAATAAAAAGCCATACTGTGTGGAAGCTGCTGTCCAGTGCTGTGCTTCCTCCCTCCTGCTTGACATTCAGAATGGAGAACACCAGAGCTCTTAGTTATGGATGGGTCCTGTGGTGTTTTGGCAGAAGAGATTGATTAACAAGTGTGGAATCAGACTTTGCCAACTAGTGCTGGTCGCTGTCATTTCTAAAGAGATCAAAACACTTTTTATACCAGTGAGCATTGTTTTAGGCCTCCTTTAAGTAAGCAGAATCAGCATGCTAGGTTTTGCCCATTTTACAGATGTGGAAGTTTGGGACCACAAAAGAGAAATTGCTCCTTCCTCTGCACTTATATAGTTGTATGAACATGTTTCTAGACTAGTTCTTATCATTTGGTGTTGTAACCATTTGTTTTCGTTTGTGTCAGCTGTGAACTAAGGGAAGAAGCTGGGTTTTACTCTGCATTGCTTCTTCCTCACACCTGTGTGCTCACTTGATTTATAATAAGTTCTTCTGGCAACACATTCTGTGGGCTCAGTCTCTCCTTCAGGAATGGTGACATTGGTGGAACCCACAAGGAAAGGTAGTTGGGAGCTGGTGGCTGACATTCAAAGCCAAGGGTGGCTAAGAATCCCAGTTTAAAAGGAAAGAATGGAATATTTAGGGGTTTGTTTTCACCTTTTGCCTAACCCTTCTTCATATAGTTATTAGATACAGCTATTGGATATCATTTCCTTAAGGCAGCCTTCCTTGACTACCCATCTCCATCTCCAGGACATGGTCAGGGTTTCTGTTAGTTGCTCTTTTGACACTCCGTCTCAGGATAGCACCCAACCATGACTCTCCTTAAATAATTCCTTGTGAACTCACTGTTTATAAGCTGTTTCCTGTGTTAGCATGGGAGCTTCAGGAGGCTCTTGCTCACCACTGAAGGACCTGGCGCAGCAGGGGCACCCAGCATTTGAATGCATTTGTGAATGAGTGAACTAGTGTATGAACAGACCAACCAACTTCAGATTGGTGTTCAATGGAATCTTAGGATTTAATTCTCTCATTTTATAGATGGGAAAGTGAAAGTTTGAAAAGATTAAGAAGTATGCTGAGACTAGTTGCTGTGATTTCCCCACTGCTTCTGGACAAATCTGCCCAGAGGAGTAGATCTTGTTTCAAGCTGCTGGAAAAGGAGGGTCTCAAGTTCACCTTGGGCTCTTTATGAAAAGCTGCTCAATGCTCCCCTATGTGAGGCAGCTGCCCGAATTTTGCTCCATGATTTTCCAGAAAGGTACCCATGCATGGATGGCAGAGTGATGCTTTAAAAGCCAGGCTGTGAGGTCATGGTCTTCAATCTCAGTTTGTCACAATCCTTCCCTTGCCCTTTTGAACTCTTTTGGCCAAAATTGATAAGCCTTTCCAACTGATCCTAATAACTATAGTTGCTAACATCTATTTTACTGAGTAGTTACTTTGTATTAGTTTCTTACAGTTCCATAACAAAGTATCACAAACTGGTTGGCTTAAAATAACAAAAACTTAAGGACTGGGGTTGAGGCTCAGCAGTAGAGCGCTTGCCTAGCACGTGTGAGGCCCTGGGTTCGATCCTCAGCACCACATAAAAATAAATAAATAAAATAAAGGTATTGTGTCAACTACAACTAAAAATATTAAAAAAGCAACTTATTTTCGGGCTGGGTTGTGACTCAGTGGTAGAGTGCTCGTCTAGCATGTACAAGGCATTGGGTTTAATCCTCAGCACCACATAAATGTAAAATAAAGATATTGTGTCCACCTAAAACTTAAAAAATATATATATTTAAAAAACAAACAACAACAACAAAAAAACCCATATTCTCTCAAAGTTCTGAGACTAGAATTCTGAAATCAAGGTGTTGGCAGAGTCATGTCCTTCCAAGATTGTAGTAAGAATTTGTTCTGTTCCCCTTGCCTAGTTTCTGATGGCCTTTGACAGTCCTTGACATCTATTGGTTTGTAGATGCATCATTCCAACCTCTGTCTCTGTGGTCACATGGTGTTCTCCCCTGTGTGTCTGTCTCTATCCAGATTTCCCTCTTATAAGGACACTAGTCATTAAGAACACTCTTATCCAGTATGACCTCAATTTAACTTGATTACTTTTGCAAAGACCTTGTTTCTTATTTATTTATGTTTTATTATTATTTCTTTTTATTCTCTTACCTCTAAGGTTTTTTTTTTTTTCTTTCTTCCTGGTACTGCAATTTGAACTCAGTCCCACTTAACCATTGAGCCACATTGGTTAAGCCCTTTTTTGTATTTTATTTAGAGAAAGGATCTCACTGAGTTGCTCTGGGCTTTGCTAAATTACTGAGGCCAGATTCAAACTTATGATCCTCCTGCCTCAGCCTCCCGAACTTCTGGGATTACAGGCATGTGTCACTGAGCCCTGCTAAGGTTTTTTTTTTTTTTTTTAAGAGCCTATTTCTAATAAGGTCACATTCACAGATTCTGGGTGAATGTGAATTTTGGGGGATACTGTTAATCTAGTATACTATGTACCAGGCACTGTACTAAGTAATATGCATGCATTGTTTCATTTAACCATCACAGAACTTCCTTGGGTTATTCTGTTATTATTATTCCCATTTTACAGATGAACTTGAGGCTTAGAGATGTTAAATAGCTTTTGCTCCAGCAGAGCTGGAATTCAACCCAGGTCTGTGACTCAGGAGCCAGGTCTCTTGTGGGCTTAATGAAGTTACATGCTGGCTCTAAGTAAAGAAGCCTAGAACCGAAGGGTTCTTTGGGAAATCAAGTGAGACTCATTGTAATCTGCTTTTGCAGGTAAGGGTCTTTCCTGGTTTGGCTTTGGAGAAAAAAATTCAATGCCATATAAAAACTGTTGTGTGCTTTGCTGTCCTGAGTTCAAAAAACAGATACAAAGGGAAGAAGAAATTATCCCAGTCTCCTTCACTTCATCTTGTCTTCCCTGAGGCCACAGCCTGTTACTTCTAAAAACCTAAAAACAATGTGCACTGGGTACATTGGGGCATGCCTGTGATCCCAGCAACTCGACTGTGATCCCAGCGACTCGGGAGGCTAAGGCAGGAGGGTCACGAGTTCAAAGCCAGTCTCAGCAACGTAGTGAGGCCCTAAGCAACTCAGCAAGACCCTATCTCTAAATAAAATATTTAAAAATGGCTGGGGATGAGGCTAAGTGGTTAAGCCCCCCTGAGTTCAATCCTTGGTATCAAAAAAACAAAGCAAAACAAAACCTTTCTGGGATTATTAGTCTTCTACTTTTTTTGTGTGCTGAGGATTGAACCCAGAACTTTACTCATGACAAATGCACGCTCCATCAGTGAGCTACTGTTAATACTTAAAATACAATTTTGGCATCTCATTGCTTACAAGTTAAAATCCAAACTCCAAGGCCTTTCTGAGCTGACCCACCTCATTCTTCTAGTACCTATCATGTTTTCTTGTCCCACTGAATGTCTCATCTTTTGATATAAGCTTTTTTTTTATGACTCAGGCCCTCATAGATATGGTTGCTTTGACCTAGATTGCCTCATTTCCCTCTTTTCTTTTTTTTGCCTAACTAAGGTGTATCCTTAAGAGCTAAATCAAATGTCACCTCTTCAGTGATGTCTTCCTTAATTCTTCCAGTTAGAGTTTGTAGCTCAGCCTTCTGTGTTCCCATAGCCTTTGGGGCCCTCTCTGTTCTTGTACTGCTCTAGAACCATTAGCTGCTTTTGTGTCTGTCCTGCCTACTGAACTGTGAACTCTTGAAGGCAAGTGCCATATCTTAGTCACTTTTTAATTTTTTAGTTATAGATGGACAAAATACCTTTTTTTATGTGTTGCTGAGGATCAAATATAGTGCCTCATACATGCTAGGCAAGCACTCCACAACTGAGCTATAACCCCAGCCCCCTAGTCACCTTTTAACCTTTAATGCTTAGCATAAAGCTTAGTGAAAAAATGAAGGAAAGAGTTAAGCACAGAGTGAGATCTAGATGTCACTCACATGGAGAGAATGCCTCTGTAGTATTCAAAGTTGAAACCTTATTAGGCCAGTTAATTCATTATGCAAAAGATATGATATTAATCTGCATTTTTATTAATTTTATGCTTAATCTTTCTTGTAATATTTCCAAAGTGCTTAAATTTTATATATATATATATATATATATTTTTTTTTTTTTTTTTTAATTTAAGTATCTAGCAGCCATGTTAGGATTAGGTAGGATCAGGATTGGTTCAGAGTGGGCAAGTTTAGTTGAAATCACCTGAATAAGAGCATGGTGCATAAATTCAGGGTGCCATTTGATTGCTG